GTTACTTGCCCTCATGATACCCTGGAAGTTTCTACCCCCCTCCTCTGCCCCTGAGTGTAGAGCAGAGAAATGAGGTGGGAAGTGGGGGAGGTTCATTCAAACCCCAAGTATCGAGGTGGGAAGGGAGGGGGGTTTAAATACCCAGTATAGGAGGTGGGATGTGAGGGGGGGTTACCCCAAGTATTGAGGTGAGAAGTGAGGGGGATTCAGGCCTCAAATATAGAGGTGGGAAGTGAGGGGGGTTCAGACCCCAAGGTGGGTAGCGATTGAACCCCAAGTATAGAGGTGGGAAGTGGGGGGTTCAGACCCCAAATACAGAGGTGGGAAGTGAGGGGGGGTTCATATCCCAGATATTGAGGTGGGAAGTTAGGGGTGTTCATTTCCCAAGTATAGAGGTGGGATGTGAGGGTTAGACCCCAAGCATAGTGATGGAAAGGGAGGGGGGGTTCAGTTCTGACCCCCAGTATAGAGGTGGGAAGTGAGGGGGGGTTCAGACCTCATATAGAGGTGGGTGGGATGGGATGTGAGGGAGGTTCAGGCCCCCAAGTTTAGAGGTTGGAAGTGAGGGGGGTTCAGTTCAGACCCCAACTATTTAGCTAGGAAGTGGTTCAGACTAAGTATAGAGGTGACCCCGGTGAGATAGGGATGAGGCATGTGAGATAGAGGTGAGTGGAGCTCAAATCCCAACTACAGAGGTGAGGCATGTGAGATAGGGGCTCGTTAAGACCCCAATTATAAGGGTGAGACAGGTGAGGGGGGTGTTCAGACCCCAAGTATAGAGGCGAGGCATGTGAGTGGGTTCAGACCCCCGGTATAGAGGTGAGCTGAGGCATGTGAGGGGGTTTCAGACCCCAATTGTAGGGGTGAGACAGGTCAGGGGGGTTCAGTCCCCCCCTATAGAGGTGAGATATGTTAGGGGGGTTCAAACCCCAAGTGTGGAGGTGAGATGGGTGGGGGGGGGGGTTCAGACCAGATATTGGTGAGATGGTTACGGAGGGTTCAAACGCCAAGTATCGAGGTGAGAAAGGTGAGGGGGATGCAAGGTGGGGTGTGGCGCTGTGGAGTGATAGAAGGTGGGATGTGGTGCTGGTGGTCGGTGTGAGGAGGACTGTGTGAGGGCAGGGCGGGACATGATGATGCTGCATGGAGTGCCCGTTGCCACCCTGCCCCTGCCCCTCTGCCAGTCGTGCCTACCTGCAACCCCCGTTTTTGTGTGGTATGGTGTATGGACTGGTGTGGTATGGTGTATGGTCTGGTTGGCATGGTGTGGTATGATGCATTGGCTGCCATGGTGTGGCATGATACAGGCCTTTCAGCAGCTCGGCATGTGGGGCTGTGCTCCCCTCACTCACACTCCTTCTCAACCTGCAGCACCATCAGATGCTGCCTAGCCATCCAACGGAAGGGGCCAGCATGATGACATCTGCTCATCCTGATTCACACATCAGGCCCAATGCCCCTGTGGCCTTAAGTGTAGCCCACAAAGATCCTGGTGCAGTGCATTCCTTGTGTAGAAGTACCAGTAATATCGTAACACCCTTGGTGCTGCTGTTTTTCCATGAATGTTATCCATCATGTTATCTCTTATCTTTTATGTGCTGCCGCTGCCGCTGCCGCCGCCGCCGCCGCCGGAGTAGCCGCAGCAGCAATCCAAGCTCCAAGAGATGCCGAGAAGTGACATTGTCAGTTCAACCGTCTAAAAGAAACTGCGTGAACTAATGGAGGGCTGCTCCTGGTGAGCCGAATATGGAGCAGCAGCACTTGCAGCGCGTGAAGATGGTGAAGACACGATGGAAGAATGCGAAAACTGGTGTCTAGCCTAGTTGGAAAAAAGATGGGTAGGATGGGGAGGGAAAGACCCTGTGTAACATATCGCCATACGAACCGTCCCTCCTAGTCTAACTATCGCGACTAATCTGGACGTTCCTAGTTTCCCCTTGCGCGCGAAGTTGCGGGAACATATTGGGAATGTTGGGTTGGGTTGGATAGGGTTGGGATTGAAGGTTGGGAAGATAGGTTTGGATGATAGGGTTGGAGTGGTGGTTACCACTCCATCACCAAGTGACAGGTTGGATTTGGGTTGGGCAGCAATTGTTCCTATTGGCTGCAATTCCAACCAATGCACATTTAGCAACCCAAGATAAGTTTGCACACCTCCGCAAATTGATTCCAGCTCACTACAAATTCCTTGGTTGGGAAAACCCAACCCATGCCACATGGGCAAGGCCCACAATTGGTGCACCACCCCCTTGGCCATGGAGGAGGTGGTTGCACCCCAAGGGGTCTAGGAAGTGGGAGGGCTCTTGGAGCTCATTCTTCACTTTCCTTCCCCAATAACCCAATATTGGAAGAAGGATCCTCCTCCTCTCTAAGTCCTCCAACTGCTATCTCTACCACAAAGGACTTAGCCAAATCTTGGCTATTTTGTGGTCATCTCCAAGTTCTCTTTGAGGTTCCAGCCTACTCCTAGTTCTAATTTAGGAGTGTTATTTTGTTGTATTTCCGCCATTTATAAACCGGTGTTGTTATAAACCGGTGGATGTTATACCCTGTCTCTTGGGCCTTGGGAAAGGCCGACGAGTAAACGAGGCGAGTGCGGGTTGAAGCTCCTACCAGCTCGAAAGGCACTGGGGAGACTGCGGCTGGGGTATGGTTTTTTGCCGCTTGGAGCCGCGAGTTTGGAGGTATGTCGCCGCGACAGACTGAAGTTAGGAGGGAAAGTGGGAGGGTGTGGAGAAAAAGCGGCAGTGGCGAAACGGGAAAGAATGGACGAGAATGTTTCTTGGATGAGGCTTCGCCTATGCTGAAGTTTGGAGTTCGCGAGATCTGACGAAAGCTGGCGAAGATTTTCGTTCGAGGCCCTGGTGTAGGTCTTGGCTTCGCTAACCAGGTTCAAATGTTGATCAGACCTTTCAGGTTTCTGACAGTGTCAGTGAGTTTGAGGGGTTGAGTGCGTTTCTACAGGTTTGGGATTCTGATTCCGAACCACTTTGACGGCTTCAAAGGGAAAACATGGCGATATTTCATGGGAAATTATAAAAAAGGGTCCTCAGTTTGCCAGAGGGGTGAGCAAACAAGGTCCGTCAACCTCGAGGCCCACCAAAACAGTGACGTACCAGCGTCCGCGCCTAGCCCTCGCCTCCGAGCCTGGGCTACACGCGCTCCGTCGTACCTAACGTGAACAGTGTCACAAAGCGCCCCCGCGAACTCCGCCATGTTCCGTCAAAGCTCCGTCAACACTCAGATCCCCGATTCGCGGAAAAGAGTGTGGTTCAGTTGTGCACCTGAACATGACAAATTTACACAATAAGATGAGATTCTATCAAAAACAATGTAGCAAACCGTGTGCCCTGGACATATAGCTTCGCATTAATTTTGATATTAAATCTAATACACATAGAGTTTTAGCATGATACATAGCCTCATAGAATTCTGTTACGAGAACTATTTCCGGGATTGGTAGAACAATAATCATGGCCAATAAGCAACAAGCAATGTCGATTTCCATTATCAGAAATCCAGGGTATCTTATCTTATACCGACACTATCTACAAAATGGAGAATTGGAATAAAATATACATGCCTAATACAAGACATATGATAGTATCTTTTATTCCATGGGGGCCTTCTATCCGAGCGTTCATTTTAGGTTGTGACTATAAGAGGAATGGAGGTGCGTTACGCCATTGGTATGTTCATTCATGGTTTGTAAAGCTTCTTGCGTTGGCCACGTTAAATCCTTGCACAAAACTACTATGTACCACTTCGTTGCCTTTAAAGAACCCCCTCCGTCTTTAGTTGCTCTATAAGTAGTTTTTCCCAGCCTTTCCTTCTACTTTCGCCTACGTAACTGGGTACCAAACGTTTTACGGTTGTAATTGTGAGATTCATGCTTTAACAAACCCCTTTAACTCAGTGGTTAATGACTGGGTTATGATAATGGAAATCGACATTGCTTGTTCCTTATGAGCCGTGATTATTGTCCTATTAATCCTGAAAATAGTTCCCGTAACAGAATTCTACGAGGCTATGTATCATGCTGAAACTCGATGTGTATTAGATTTAATTAATGCAAAGCTATATGCCCTAGGCACATGGGTTGCTACATTGCTTTTCATATAATCTCACCTTATTGTGTAAATTTGTCATGTTCAGGTGCACAGCTGAACCACACTCTTTTCGTGAATCGGGGAAAGGAGTGTTGACGGAGCATTGACGGAACATGGAGCAGTTTGTGGGGGCGCGTTGTGACACTGTTCAGGTTAGGGACGACGGAGCGCGTGTAGCCCAGGCTCGGAGGCGAGGTCTAGGGGCGGACGCTGGTACGTCACTGTTTTGGTTGGGGCTCGAGGTTGACGGACCTTGTTTGCTCACACCTCTGGCAAACTGAGGACCCTTTTTGATCATTTCCCATATTTCACTTCCAAAAGCCTCTTGGCTGCCTGACGTGACGGCGATTGCAAGCGACCTTTCGTTTGTTGCGTCTGCCAATCAAAGAACGACAGCTGCCCTTGGCCGACACCTCCCCAGAGTTGATACGTTTCAAATCCCGCACGGATTCGTTATTCTGTTACCCTGTACAAATACAGCCGTAGTGTAGCGGGTTTATGAGTCTACACTCTCTATATTGGAGGACAGAATCGAGGGCCTGCCCGAGGGCCGCATCCTTGCAGTTTCGCTGCTCCCCAAAACGGAATTTCGTGCCAAACGACACGCACACGCTGCTTCCTGATGCAGGCATTGGGCGGCCAAGAATCCGTCACGAGGGCCACAACGAAATCTAATTTGATTAAACTGTACCCCGATCCCACCGCGTTCCACCCCTTCATACCCCGTCAGGCCTTTCTCAATCTGCCCGAAACCATCAGTGCCTAGCCAATCATGCTGCGCAACAGCCGTTTCTAGCCTGCCCGTCAGGCGTACGCTCTACATACACGCGCACCGCAAGCCACTCCCCCTTATTTCATGCCCCTTCTGAGTTGCCGGTTGCCTCCTTACTTCTCGCGTCTTTATCACATGACCACCTTTCGCTTTGCTTGCCTAAGAAAGGGTGCAGCGCGCAGGCAGGTTCCTCATGCAAACGCGAGCCAGCATGAGCGCATCTCCTCGTGTTAGCTGTCGCGAAAAGTGGTACGCTTTGCGTGTGACCAACGTCACGCATGCGTGCTGACGAGGCGAGCTGCTTAGGGTTCCATTGGGCGGCTGGACGGGAGAGCGTCGAGCATTCGAGTGTCCTAGTGTGTGCAGTTCTACTGCAGTGGCTAGTAACCATAGTCGCGCAGTCGCACCTGCGTTCTTGCGACGGGCCTGCTTCCAGAGTCAGGTGCCATCTCGACCGGTTTCATCAGGCACGAGAGCGAGCCGAGAAGAGCTTTTATTTCGAAGCTGCTCGTAGCGGGGACGTGGATCGAACTTCTGGCGTCGCCGTCGCTGAAGCTGCGAACGGCTCTCGGCGCGCGATGAATCTCTCCCATCGCCGCGCGATTAGTCCCGCTTCACTCTGGCATCGCTGAGCGTGTAACGCGTACGAGCGATTCGAATTGCGCACCTGAGTTCACGAGTCCGCGAACGCAGACGAGATTTGAGAACGAGGTCGAGGTTCGCGCGATAGTCTTCCAGTCCCCGAGCGATTTCTGAGGCGCCTCAAAAATCGCGGTCTGCGCATAGAATTCCGCCTCTCCGCCTTTTCAGATCTGGGCTGGTCCGCTTCGCGCTTCTCCTTCCCCCGTCCCCCCCATCCCCTCCTGGTCGGCTTCCCCCTTCCTTGCGCCATGGCGCGGAGCTGGATGGTGGGCGGAACTGCGGTGGCGGCGCTGGCGTCCGTGCTGGCGGCATGCGCCACTGCGCTGCACGCATCTGGCGGAGAAATGGGGTGAGGGGGCAAGGGGGTTGAGGTGGGGGGATGGGCTGCACGCAAGTGGTGGAGACATGGGTTGAGGATATGTTCAGAGATGTGTTCAAATATGATGAGTCATGTGGGTGGGGGACATGAGGTCGGAATTCCGAATGTTCAAAGATGTGTCCTCCCCCCCATCTCCCCTCCCCCCCCCCCTCCCCCCCCACGCCTCCGCACCTGTTAAACCCGCATCCCCTGCTTCTTTCGTCCCAGCCCTCTGGTCTCTGCGCCCTTCCCCGTTCACCCTCTCCCCCATGCCCCCTCCCTATCTCCCCCCCTTTCCCCAGTCCCCCATGCCACGTCACCCCCCACCCCAGGCTGCACCCCATGCTGCGCATCTTCCCCTTCCTCTCTCACCCGCCTTCCCACTCCCCCCTCCCCCCCCCCCCAGGCTGCACCCCATGCCGCGGATCTTCCCCTTCCTCTGCTCCTGCGAGGACGAGCACGGGGTGCTGGACGAGGGGATAGCGCGCTGCCAGCTGGCAAGGTGAGGGGATAGCGCGCTGCCAGCTGGCAAGGTGGGGGGATGACAGGGGGACAAGGGGAGCACCGGAGCATGCGGGGTGTTTTTGAGAATTATCAACGACACCCATTTTAGAATTCTAAAGAACACGCTGCCAGCTGGCAAGGTGAGGGGATGGTAGGGGGACAAGGGGAGCATTGGAGCTTGGGGTTGTGGGGGGGGGAGAAAAGGTCGATACGGGGTGCTGGGTGAGGGGATTCCGCGCTGCCAGCTCGCCAGATGAGGGGTCAGAGGTGCGGGGGGGGGGGACGGGGAGAACACTGGATCTATTGAAAGGGGGCAGTGGGGGAGAGGGAGAAGAGAAGAAGAGGACGAGTATGGCATGGCATGCTAGATGCAGGGATAGCGCCCTGCACCCTCCCCTGCACACCTTCCCTATCACTCCAGCAGCTTGCTCATTGTCCTCCTCGCATATCTCTCCATCTTACTCGAGCTCGTTTATTTTTGAGGCGACTCAAAAATAGACATCCCACTCGAGCTCGTCTACTTCTAATGCCTTCTGACCGTTCCGCCTGTGATTCCAACCCCACCCACCCCAAATCTCCCCCTCCCCACAGCGACTTCCTCATCGCCCTCGCGTACTTCTCCATCCCTCTCAAGCTCGTTGCACTCACTCTGCCTTCTTCTTTCTTCTCTCCCCCCCCACCTCCCTTTCCTCTCCCCAGTGACTTCCTGATAGCCCTCGCGTATTTCTCCATCCCCCTCGAGCTCGTCTACTTCTTCCTTCGTTCCAAGGTCTTCCCCCACCGCTGGGTGCTGCTGCAGTTCGGCCTCTTCATCGTCCTGTGCGGTAGGCTCCTCTTCCGCCTCCCTGTCCTGCGCTTCCTAATCCCTGTGTTCGTGCTGCTGCTGGGTGGTGCTGCTGCTGGGTGGTGCTGCTGCTGGGTGGTGCTGCTGCTGGGTGGTGCTGCTGCTGGGTGGTGCTGCTGCTGGGTGGTGCTGCTGCTGGGTGGTGCTGCTGCTGGGTGGTGCTGCTGCTGGGTGCTGCTGCTGCTGGGTGCTGCTGCTGCTGGGGGAGAACCTTGGAACCCTGGCTCCCCTTCCAAGGTTCTCCCCCACCGCTGCTGGGTGGTGCTGCAGTTTCTTAGGTTCTCTTCCCCCTCCCTCCCCTCCAAGCCAGGTATGACCCATGTGGTCAACATGTGGACGTACGGCCCCCACCCCAGCGCGGTGGCGGTGCTGCAGACCGTGCTCAAGGTGCTGTGCGCTGCTGTCTCCTGCGCCACTGCCTTCCTGCTCGTCACCATCATCCCGGCGCTGCTCAACGTCAAGGTATGCTGTGAAGGTGAAGGGCGCCTTGCACCTTGCTCTCCCACACCGAGAGGACTCTATTTTTGAGTCGCTTCAGAAATAGAAGGGGAAGGGTGCCTTGCACCGTCTGTGAAGGGGAAGGGTGCCTTGCACCGTCTGTGAAGGGGAAGGGTGCCTTGCACCGTCTGTGAAGGGGAAGGGTGCCTTGCACCGTCTGTGAAGGGGAAGGGTGCCTTGCACCGTCTGTGAAGGGGAAGGGTGCCTTGCACCGTCTGTGAAGGGGAAGGGTGCCTTGCACCGTCTGTGAAGGGGAAGGGTGCCTTGCACCGTCTGTGAAGGGGAAGGGTGCCTTGCACCGTCTGTGAAGGGGAAGGGTGCCTTGCACCGTCTGTGAAGGGGAAGGGTGCCTTGCACCGTCTGTGAAGGGGAAGGGTGCCTTGCACCGTCTGTGAAGGTGAAGGGTGCCTTGCACCGTCTGTGAAGGGGAAGGGTGCCTTGCACCGTCTGTGAAGGGGAAGGGTGCCTTGCATCGTCTGTGAAGGGGAAGGGTGCCTTGCACCGTCTGTGAAGGTGAAGGGTGCCTTGCACCGTCTGTGAAGGGGAAGGGTGCCTTGCACCGTCTGTGAAGGGGAAGGGTGCCTTGCACCGTCTGTGAAGGGGAAGGGTGCCTTGCACCGTCTGTGAAGGTGAAGGGTGCCTTGCACCGTCTGTGAAGGGGAAGGGTGCCTTGCACCGTCTGTGAAGGGGAAGGGTGCCTTGCACCGTCTGTGAAGGGGAAGGGTGCCTTGCACCGTCTGTGAAGGGGAAGGGTGCCTTGCACCGTCTGTGAAGGGGAAGGGTGCCTTGCACCGTCTGTGAAGGGGAAGGGTGCCTTGCACCGTCTGTGAAGGGGAAGGGTGCCTTGCACCGTCTGTGAAGGGGAAGGGTGCCTTGCACCGTCTGTGAAGGGGAAGGGTGCCTTGCACCGTCTGTGAAGGGGAAGGGTGCCTTGCACCGTCTGTGAAGGGGAAGGGTGCCTTGCACCGTCTGTGAAGGGGAAGGGTGCCTTGCACCGTCTGTGAAGGTGAAGGGTGCCTTGCACCGTCTGTGAAGGGGAAGGGTGCCTTGCACCGTCTGTGAAGGGGAAGGGTGCCTTGCACCGTCTGTGAAGGGGAAGGGTGCCTTGCACCGTCTGTGAAGGGGAAGGGTGCCTTGCACCGTCTGTGAAGGGGAAGGGTGCCTTGCACCGTCTGTGAAGGGGAAGGGTGCCTTGCACCGTCTGTGAAGGGGAAGGGTGCCTTGCACCGTCTGTGAAGGGGAAGGGTGCCTTGCACCGTCTGTGAAGGGGAAGGGTGCCTTGCACCGTCTGTGAAGGGGAAGGGTGCCTTGCACCGTCTGTGAAGGGGAAGGGTGCCTTGCACCGTCTGTGAAGGGGAAGGGTGCCTTGCACCGTCTGTGAAGGGGAAGGGTGCCTTGCACCGTCTGTGAAGGGGAAGGGTGCCTTGCACCGTCTGTGAAGGGGAAGGGTGCCTTGCACCGTCTGTGAAGGGGAAGGGTGCCTTGCACCGTCTGTGAAGGGGAAGGGTGCCTTGCACCGTTCCCCCCTAGCAGTGAAGGTATGTGCCCCTCTGATCATCCCAGTGCACCGCGCTGCTGTGTCCCGCCACGCACCACTGCTCTCCTACTCAGCATTGCTCAGCGTGAAGGTGTCTCTCCTGCTCGCCACGCGCCATTTCTCTGCTGCTGAAGGTGTCTCGCTGCGCTGCTTCTTCTTTTGCCCTCCTTTTGCTTCCACGTGCCTGGCCTGGCTCGCGTGCCCAATGCCATGTGCCCGATGCCATGGGCCCAATGCCATGTGCCCGGTGAAAATCGTGTGTTGTGTTTCTGCTGTCCTGCGCATCCCGGAATCGTGTGTTGGTAGCTGGCTTGCTGCGGATCGAATCCTTTGTTTTCCCATCTGCTGTCCTGCGCATCCCTGAATGCTCTATCAGGTCCGGGAGTTGTTTCTGCAGCACAAGGCCGCGCAGCTGGACAGAGAGATGGATGTGATGAGGCGCAAGGAGGAGGTGGGGCGGCACGTGCGCATGCTGACATACGAGATCCGGCAGTCGCTGGACCGCCACACCATCCTCAACACCACTCTTGTGGAGCTCGCTCAGGCGCTGTGCCTTGAGAACTGCACGATTTGGATGCCGGACGCATGTGAGTGCTACCATGGGGGGGACTGTACACACACACATGGCAGGGACTGTACACACACACATGTGCGCTTGCCGGACGCATGTGAGTGCCGACTAGTGCAAGCCCCAGAAAATGTCCCTATCTCCGACTCAACGGTCCTTCAGCTAACCTCCCCCAGCTTCCTTTATCTCCCCTTTCAACCCGACATCAGCGGGATCCTTCCTGGAGCTGACCCACGAGTTGGAGCGCCGGCTGGTGCAAGCCCCGGTGCTGGTCCCGGTGACCGACCCCACAGTCCAGTCCCTCATCCACACACCCCGCGCCCTCCGCATCTCCCAATCCTCCTTCATCGGCCGGGCCTCCGCCCCCCGTGGGGCCCACAGCACGTCCCTCGCCGCCGTGCGTCTCCCCATCCTGCCCCTAGAAGCCATGGCTGACGCTGCCGCTGCTGCCGCTTCTGCTGCTGCGGCTGCTGCTGCCTCTGGGGGTGGGGGCGGTGCAGGGGTTGGTGGGGAGGATGTGAATGGGGGTGGTGATGAGAGGAGTGGTTTGGTTGCTGGTGGCGGCGGTTGGGGGGGTCTGGGAGGTGGTGGAGGAGAGGAGGGAGGGAGTGGGGTGGTGGACGGGGAGGAGAGGATAGCTGGAGTGGTGCCGTTGTATGGGCTCATGGTGCTCGTGCTGCATGGTGATGCCAGGAGGTGAGATGCTAGGGATGCTCATGCGTGGGATGATGGTATTGTGAGTGCCAGGGATGGGCGTTTGAGATAAGAGGAGAGCTGGAGTGGTGCCGGTGTGTGGGCTCATGGTGCTCGTGCTGCATGGGGATGCCAGGAGGTGAGATGCTAGGGATGCTGATGCGTGGGATGATGGTATTGTGAGAGCCAGGGATGGGCGTTTGAGATAAGAGGAGAGCTGGAGTGGTGCCGGTGTGTGGGCTCATGGTGCTCGTGCTGCATGGGGATGCCAGGAGGTGAGATGCTAGGGATGCTGATGCGTGGGATGATGGTATTGTGAGAGCCAGGGATGGGCGTTTGAGACAAGAGGAGAGCTGGAGTGGTGCCGGTGTGTGGGCTCATGGTGCTCGTGCTGCATGGGGATCCTAGAAGGTGAGATGCTGGGGAAGCCGATGCATAGGATGAGGGTGTTGTGATTGCAAGGGGTGTGATTGCAAGGGGTGTGAGTGCAAGGGGTGTGAGTGCAAGGGGTGTGAGTGCAAGGGACGGTGATGTGTCCAAAGCGGATAGAAGGAAAGGTGCCGATGTGTGGTATGGGCTCATGGTGCTCGTGCTGCATGCATGGTGCTCGTGCTGCATGCATGGTGCTCGTGCTGCATGCATGGTGCTGCCTGAATGTGCGACTCAAGGGAGGGAAGGTGGTGAGAGCAAGGGATGGTGGTGTGTGTGAGTGAGGTAAGGGGGTCAGTGATAGCGGTGTCGGTGCGTGATATGGGCTCATGGTGCTCGTGCTGCATGGTGACGCTAAGGTGTGACTGTAGTGCTGTGACCTCTCGTTTATTAGTGACTGAAATTGCCTGTGATCTCTGCCTTGTTCCCGTCTGTCAGCGCCTGCGCTCTCCCGTTAATACGCCACACTTTCTATCTGCACCCTCTATTCTCGCCAGGCCGTGGAAGGCGCATGAGGTGGAGATGGTCGGGGTGGTGGCGGACCAAGTGGCTGTGGCGCTCTGCCTTGACCTTTCATGTGTGTGTGTCTCTCCCTCTCTCTCCAACTGTCCCTCCCATCTCTCCCCTCCTCACCAGGCAGTGGAAGGCGCATGAGGTGGAGATGGTCGAGGTGGTGGCGGACCAAGTGGCTGTGGCTCTCTCGCATGCTGCAGTGGTGGAGGAAACACAGGTGGGTGCAGTGCGGTGCTTGTGGAGAATGGGGGGATATTGAATGATAGAAGGTGAGGGGGAGAGGAAGGGTTGAACCAGCCGTGGCTCACTCGCATGCTGCACTGCAGTGCTGGAGGAAACACAGGTGAGTCTGTGGTGGTGACTGGTAGGAGGAGTGGGAAGGAGGGTTAAGGGGTTGCAGAGAGTGAGGGAAAGTCGAGGTGGGAAGAGGTGGTGGTGAGCCGGGTTGCTGTGTTTAGCTTCCAGGAAACTTTTGAGGCAGCGGGACGAAAGTTGAGGAAACTTTCTGCCTCAAAATTTTTGAGGCCGGGTGCTGTGAGGCGCCTGAGAACCCTCTCCCTCCACGCACTCTTCTTCTCTCTTCTCCAACTTCTCTGTCGCTACTCTTCCAACTTGAGGCTTTTGAGTCGACTCAAAGGTCTCTCTCCAACTTGAGGCTTGCTGACGTGTAGTAGCAGAACAGGAAACTGCAGATAGTGAGATTTTTTTTCTAAGTTCTCAAGAATCTCCAACTTGAGGGGCTTACTGACGAGTTGTAGGAGCAGAGCAGGACGCTGCAGACAGTGAGGCTGCTGGCAGACGAAGGGGCGACTTGCTTTCATTCCTCTTCCTTCTGTCTTCCCCTCTCGGCCTCCTCGCCCCCCCCCCCCCCCCCCCCCCCCCAACTAGCGGCGCAGAGACGAGCTTGAGGAGCAGAACAGGACCCTGCAGACAGACAGCAAGGCAGAGGGCGGAGGTGGCAGTGACAGTGACAGCAAGAAACGGCTTATCTTTTTCCTCTCACCGGCGTCTCTTTCCTCGCCCTCTACCCCTCCCCCCTACCAGCGGCGAAGGGACGAGCTGGAGGAGCAAAACAGAACGCTGCAGACAGCGAGGCAGCGAGCTGAGGTGGCAGTGATGGCGAGGAACGACTTCCTGGCTGTGATGAACCATGAGATGCGTACACCCCTCCACTCCATCACCGCCCTGGCGTCCATTCTGAATGTGAGTGCGTTGAACCGCAGTGATGCAGCAGAGGCTTCTTGACTTCCCCGCAGTGATGCATGAAGCATGAGACTCGCACGGCACGCCGCTGCTCTCCATCATGCCGGCTGTGGAGAGCAGTGTGCCGGCTGTTGAGAGCAGTGTGCCGGCTGTTGAGACCAGTGTGCCGGCTGTTGCGTCCTATTCGAAGGTGCGTGGATAGTGAGAAGGGGGGCAGAGGTGGCAGAGATGACTCAGTGATGCGCTGTGTAAGGCAGTGATGCGCTGTGTAAGGCGGTGATGCGCTGTGTAAGGCAGTGATGCGCTGTGTAAGGCGGTGATGCGCTGTGTAAGGCGGTGATGCGCTGTGTAAGGCAGTGATGCGCTGTGTAAGGCGGTGATGCGCTGTGTAAGGCGGTGATGCGCTGTGTAAGGCAGTGATGCGCTGTGTAAGGCGGTGATGCGCTGTGTAAAGCGGTGATGCGCTGTGTAAGGCAGTGATGCGCACGCCTCTGCACTGCACTACCTCTTCGGCGTCACTCCTCTCTTCTCTCCCTTCCCCATCCTCCTTCTCCCCCAGGAGGAGGAGTTCTGAGGCGCCTCAAAACTCTCCCTTCCCCATCCTCCTTCTCCCCCAGGAGGAGTTCTGAGGCGCCTCAAAACTCTCCCTTCCCCATCCTCCTTCTCCCCCAGGAGGAGGAGTTCTGAGGCGCCTCAAAACTCTCCCTTCCCCATCCTCCTTCTCCCCCAGGAGGAGGAGTTCTGAGGCGCCTCAAAACTCTCCCTTCCCCATCCTCCTTCTCCCCCAGGAGGACGACCCCTCGCACGAGCAGGCCCCCATGGTGGCCACTGCGCTGCTCAGCGCGTCCCTGCTGTCCGTCTGCTGCTGCCTCCTTGTCTGACCCTCCTCCACCTCTCGGGCCTCTCTTCCTGCCCCCAACCTCCCCCTCACCCCCAGGAGGAGGACTTGTCTCACGAGCAGGCTCCCATGGTTGCCACCGTGTTGCGCAGCGCCTCCCTGCTCACGTCTCTCATCACCGATGTGCTGGACTTGAGTCGGCAGGAGGAGAGGTGAGAGGGAGGGGGGAGAGGGAGGGGGGAGAGGGAGGGGGGAGAGGGAGGGGGGAGAGGGAGGGGGGAGAGGGAGGGGGAAGAGGGAGGGGGGAGAGGGAGGGAGGTGAGGGAGGGGAGGTGAGCGTCTCTCATCACCGATGTGGTGGACTTCAGTCGGCAGGAGGAGAGGTGAGTGTGATGGGAGGCGGGGTAGGGGGAGGCAGTGTGAGTGATGGCCGTTGGTGGTTCGCTGCTTCCCTGCTCACGTCGCTCATCACCGATGTGGTGGACTTTAGTTGGCAGGAGGAGAGGTGAGCGTGGTTGGCGGGGGTAGGGGGTGTGAGTGATGGGTGTGGGTGGGCGTGGGCGTGAAGGGGGGGTCTATTTGGTAGGCGTCTCAAATAGAGGCTTTAGTCGGCAGGAGGAGAGGTGGGCGTGAAGGGGGTGGGGCGAGGCAGTGTGAGTGATGATGAGTGTGGGCTGCTGCTTCCCCTTGAGTCGACTCAAAGGCTGCTGCCTCCCCTCTCGCGTAGCTTTTGAGTCGACTCAAAGGCTGCTGGACTTAAGTCGACAACAGGAGTGTGTAATGAGTTTCTTTTTGAGTGGACTCAAATGAGTGGACTCAAAAATAGGCTCTCGCATAACTCATTTCTCATGGGCTGAACTTTAGTCGACAACAGGAGAGGCGAGCGAGCAAGCAGGGAGAAAGGGGACTGGAAAGGACTTCCATGTCGGCCCTTGGCGGAAGGGGAGAGGTGAGCAAGCCGTTGTTAGCCATGATAGAAGGGGAGTGTGAGTGTCGGCCGTCAAAACTAGACTAGTTGTGAGGCGCCTCAAAGGTAGACTCCTATCAAGCAAAAGACTTCCATGTCGGAATCTTCCAGGGAGAAAGGGGAATTGAAAAGACTTCCATGTCGGCCCTTGGCGGAAAGGACTTCAATAGAATTGGTGGAAAGGGCTTCTTGGCTGGCGTTTGATCACCAATTCTATTCCACATCCTCCCTTGGCCGTGCTGCTCCCCCCCACGTTTTCCTCACAGTCTGCATCTGGAGAAGCGCCCGTTCGACCTGCGCAAGCTGTGCAGATGAGCATGCAAGGCAGGCTAGCCTGGCCGCTGGTGGGGCTCCAAAGCTTCACAGTTCCCGCCGAAGAAGTTCCTCACAGTTCGTCCCGCTGTGTCGGCTCCTGTGTCGGCTCGTCCCGCTGAAGTTCCTCACCCGCCATCCCGCTGTTGCTTCTTCCCGTCCCTCCTCTTCCCTCCTCTTCCTTACGTCCAGTCTGCATTTGGAGAAGCGCCCGTTCGACCTGCGAAAGTTGTGCAGAGAAGCGGGCAAGCTAGCCTGGCCGCTGGTGCGGTCCAAAGATTTGCAGTTCACTTTGGAGGTGTCTGGAGTGGTGCCGCGGTACGTGGTGGGGGATGAGAAGCGCCTGCTGCGACTCATGCTGCACCTGATAGGGCGAGCTGTGAAGAAAACAGATGAGGTGAGTCAGAGAGGTGGAGGAGTTTGGCCGCTCAAGTGGTCCAAAGGTTTACAGTTCTCCCTGGAGGTGTCGGGAGTGGTGCTACTGGAAGTGTCGTGGGTTGTGCCGCTGTATGTGGTGGGGTATGAGAAGCGCCTGCTGCGACTCAAGTCCGCCAACTTCCCAAGTCTGCCAACTACCCATGTCCGCCCACTTCCCAAGTCCGCCCACTTCCCAAGTCCGCCAACTTCCCAAGTCCGCCAACTACCCAAGTCCGCCAACTACCCAAGTCCGCCAACTTCCCAAGTCCGCCAACTACCCAAGTCCGCCAACTTCCCAAGTCCGCCAACTACCCATGTCCGCCAACTTCCCAAGTCCGCCAACTACCCAAGTCCGCCAACTTCCCAAGTCCGCCAACTACCCAAGTCCGCCAACTTCCCAAGTCCGCCAACTACCCAAGTCCGCCAACTTCCTGTCCTCCCACCCTCCTGTCCTCCCACCCTCCTGTCCTCCCACCCTCCTGTCCTCCCACCCTCCTGTCCTCCCACCCTCCTGTCCTCCCACCCTCCTGTTCTCCCACCCTCCTGTCCTCCCACCCTCCTGTCCTCCCACCCTCCTGTCCTCCCACCCTCCTGTCCTCACACCCTCCTGTCCTCCCACCCTCCTCTCTCCTCTCCTCTGCCTTCACATCCCGACTTCCCCACTGAACTTACCTCTCCTGCATGCCCTTTCTCCAAGCAGGGCTTTGAATTGGGTCGGGTGTCAGTGGGCGATTTGCGGATGCACTCCCCTCCCACCTTCACATTCCGAAATCACCACTGGACCTCTCCCTCCTTCCTTCCCTCTCCCCAAGCAGGGCTTTGTATCGGTGCGGGTGTCAGTGGGCGATGGGCGGACGCACCCGCCTCACTCCTCCCAATCCTCCTCCACCGCTGGTGACACCCCCAGTGGGGGCTACATCCCTGCTGCCGCTGCTGCAGCCGCAGCTGCAGGGGACAATTCGCTCGGGCTCAAGCCGCACACACCGTGGGAGGTAAGTGTGCTCTGAATAGGACCCATGTGGTATTGGAGGGGGTGCATTCTATGGGGGGTCCTCCCACTCCTCCTCCACTGCTGGTGCTACTGCTGGTGCTGCTGGTGCTACTGGTGCTACTGGTGTTGCTGGTGCTGCTGGTGTTGCTGGTGCTGCTGGTGCTGCTTGTGTTGCTGGTGCTGCCCCTCGTCTTGTGCTGCTGCTGAGGCAAATATACTTGTCTTAAGCGCCTCCCCTTTTTCCCCCGACACCCAACCTAACTCAACCCAACCTTCCCTAACAGCTGCTGCCGGGCCAGGACTTAGTCAACATCCGTGTAGGCATCAAGGACTCTGGGCGCGGACTCACAGCCATGGAGTTCAAGCAGGCCCCCTCCCCCTCCCCCGTTCCCCCTTTCGTTGCATGCCCTTTCTTCCCTAACAGCTGCTATTGGGCCAAGATCTGGTCAACATCCGTGTAGACATCAAGGACTCTGGGCGCGGACTCACAGCAATGGAGTTCAAGCAGGCCCCCCCTCTTCCCCCCCCCTTTTTTTTTCCCTTTCTCCTGTGCGTGCTTTTCTTGCAGCTGCTATTGGGCCAAGACTTGGTCAACATCCGTGTAGACATCAAGGACTCTGGGCGCGGACTCACAGCCATGGAGTTCAAACAGCATCAGGCGCTGCTGCAGCAGCAGCAGAAGGACGAGGAGGGGGAGGGGGACGGGAGGAGGGAAGCTGGAGGGAATGATGGTGTGAGAGAGGGAGGGCAGGCAAAGGCGGCACAGGGAGTAGGGGAGGAGAGGAGGGGAGGGACGATGCTGGGGTTTGAGATCTGCCAGAAGTTTGTGCAGCTGATGGGGGGGTACATATGGATAGAGAGCGGTGGGGAGGGGTTGGGAGCGACGGTGACGTTTGTGGTGCGGCTGGTGCTGGACCGAACCAAGAGGCAGAATGTAGGGTTTAGGGAGCGAAGAGGAGGGGGGAGAGGAGTAGGAGGTGGGGGGAGGGAGGGGAAAGCAGAGGGGTTGGGGGGGTTTCTAGCAGCAGAGTCAGGAGGAGGAGAAGCAGGAGGGGGCGGATAGATGGGGTGGCTGGTGGCGTGGGGAGGAGTAACGGAGTGCTGTGGAATAGTGAATATGATGGTGCTGAAGGTGTAGAAGGAGAGGAGAGTGAGGGAGAGAGGGGGAGGAGGGGGGTTAAGGAGTATCCCTTCATGGATGATGATGAGGATGAGGATGAGGATGATGATGATGATGATGATGATGATGATGAGGAGGAGGATGATGAGGATTCGTTGTGTAGTGACAGCACGGTTTCATCCATGGATTGCTATGTACAGGAGCTCGAAGGGGTGCATGTACTGGTGAGTCCATCCATCTTGCGTACATGGTTTCTATTCCATGTTGCTGTCTTATGACATTTTTTGCGCCATGGCCTCTTTCCACTCCCCATACCTTCCATCCAGCTCAACCCTCCTTCCGTCACCCCTCAGCCTTTTTCTTGTTCCTGTTTCCCTCCTCCTCCTCCTCCTCCTCCTCCTCCTCCTCCTCCTCCTCCTCCTCCTCCTCCTCCTCCTCCTCCTCCTCCTCCTCCTCCTCCTCCTCCTCCTCCTCCTCCTCCTCCTCCTCCTCCTCCTCCTCCTCCTCCTCCTCCTCCTCCTCTCCACCCCCATCTCCCCAGTTAGTGGAGGACAACGTGGCGAATCGCATCGCGACACATCAGATGCTGCTGACGCTGCGGTGCCACGTGAGCAGTGTGGGCAGTGCACAGGAGTGCCAGATGGAGCTGACCACACGCAAGAGCCCCACAGTCCCGCCAGTGGATGTCGTGCTGCTGGATGTCTGCATGCCGGATGTCGATGGCTTTGAAGTCGCCCGTCGCATCCACAACCTCTTCCGGTACGCTCTCTTGCGGAGACTCTTGATGTGGATCCATCCATGCATGCTTGATGGTTTGTCCTTCTCACCACCTTGTGTGCCAGCCCAGGCTATCAGCAGCACGTCCGTTACACTTCCACATGTCTTCCTGGTTCTTTTCCACCCATAACTCTTATTCCCATCTCTTTTCCACCCCCTGCCGCCAGTCCTGACGAGCGGCCTCTAATAGTGGGTCTAACCGCACGCACAGACAGCGGCATGGCAGAGGCATGTGTGGCAGCAGGCATGGATGCTGTGTTGCTCAAGCCAGTCACAGTTCGACAGCTGGCAGCAACTCTGTGCCACGTGCTGAATGGCGTGTGAAAGGGATGCAGCACCACAAGGCCTTATGCAGCTGCAGCTCCTTCTGATGATAGCCCCCAGTGGGAGAGGCACCACCACTAGGTTGGCGCAGTCACAAAATTGTTCACTTGTGCCAGTGCTGTTTCCCAGTCGTCGAATCGTGGCGGTTGTAGTGCAATACCAAGTTTGCTTTTGTAAGATTTCTCAATGTTTACCTCTGGAAAATTTATTTGTTTGATGTGCTTCCACTGGTTCAGAAGCTCGCGCATTAGATCCGGGTTGAAACTGGTACCAACCAAGCAGCAAAATCTCAAATTCACCAGCCTACAACTAAGAGTCGCTTTTAATACGGTAGACGTGGTGTATTTATGCAGCAATAATTGTTGGCAATGGTCATGTGAAGCCTCCAACATACCAGTTATGGCTAAGCCGCTAAGGGCCTCCAAAAAGAATATTAGACCAGCGCAGCAACAGCAGCAGCCACAAGAGCAGCCAGACCAGCGCCAATCAAGGAGCCAGAGGATGCAGCAGCCTTGGGGGCAGGTGGGGGGGAGCTGGGAGGGGGTGAGCTAGGAGGGGGCGAGCTGGGAGGGGTAGGGCCTACTGAGGGAGGGGATGCTGGAGCGGATGCTGTTCCTGGGGTCTCAGGAACAATGGTAGCTGAGCAGGCAGGAATGATGGGGTTGACAACCTCCGTGGGGTTGAGGGTTGTGCAGTTGGCTGCAGACACCACAGCACCCATCTCCAACTGCAAAAGAACACCCAAACACGACAGATTCTTAGCGTACTGTGCACTACATTGATTCTGATGGATATCATGGCAAAACCACATTTGGCTGATCACAATATTTTGTTCGAGACAGGCACCAACCTGAGCAACATTGTAGAAGTAGTACTTCTCGGGCACAGTCACATCGCCAGGGTGCATAATGGAGATCAGCTCAGCCAGGACCACCTGGGGCTGAGCAATGGCGCTCTCAAACCAATCTGCACAAGTGATGGTAAGATTAGGCTGAGGTTCAGCTCCAGAAAGGCTTCAAAATGCTCAGGATAAAAGAACACAGACTGCATGTTCTGCTAGAAACACGTATGCATACGCACCAGTGGCGTAGTTGGGAGCTCCAGTGGCGCGGCCGTACATGCTCCAGACATTGGGGGTGGCAAGGAACTTGTAGGTGGCAGTGTCAGTGACAGAGATGCCAGCGTTCTTAGCGAATGCATCAATGCTGTAGCCGGAAGGGCCGGTCATCAGGTAAGTCTCGTCAATGACGATATCAAGAGTCTGCCAATGCAACAGAGTTCTTCCACCTCGTTAAGCACCTTCTTACTGATAGTTGGTTGTTCATTGCATTTAGAGAAGTGAACGAAGATGTCTTACCGCAAGCAGTGACTGGAAAGCTTTCTTATCAGCCGGATCAGTCATATTGTAGGCCCTCAAATACGCCTTGGCGGGGCTTACGCCACCAGCGTCAGCAACGTACTGCAGAAAACAATGTGTCGAGTCAGAAAGCATACAAGCGGCATACAAAAAGCGATAAGCAATGCGATTAACAAAATAACTGAATTTGGCAGACAGTTAACACGCACCTGAAGCTTGTATGGGGCACCAGAGACGGTCCATGAATCCTGGAGAATAAATACGACAAAGCGCACACATAAACCAGACGAATCAGTAACCAAATAACGCATCTTCACCTAGTAAAGACAATCGTTCACTTTCTGCAGCTTACCATGTAATAGCCCAACCAACCAACCACTGGGGTGGTGGTCTTGGGAGCAGATGCCTTCAAGCAGTTGTACGACGTCTCAATCTGGACACGGAAGGAAGAGTCAAAGAGCCCTCTCAGATACGCGAACACGGGAAAACGATGTATGATATGCTCTCAATCTGGACACGCGTACGGGAAGTGCTTCGACATATATGGACGGCTTACGTCAGAGTAGACTTCCGAAGCGCGCGATTCCGCGTTGAACCACAGGGCCATGTACTTGATCCACTCCGCACGCTGCACAACAAGCGCATCGTGTTACGACGTCGGAGTCAGATTCGTAGGTTGAATGCATTGCGGATGAAACGGAGAACATCTGAGGTAAGATTCCAACGAGCGACATGCACCTTGAGAGGACCAGGGTCGGTGGAGGTGTCCAGCGAGACGTAGTTCTTGGGGACTGGCTTCTGGAAGGTCATTCCAGTGAAAACAGCACCAGGGAAAAGACCGTCGCTCTCGTTGAAGACCTGAGCGGCGCCGTCGGCCACGAGCTTTTGAACGCATGGAGCTACTGAGTAGCTGCTTGTCTCGTTGAGCAGGTTGGTCACACCGAGCATCTGCACGTGAGGTCAGGACGGGGGACTCTAGTGAGAAGGGCTGCAGGCGGCCTGAATGCTACGACATTATCGGAAAATCACTGAAATTACCTGGACGAAGCTAACTGAACGATCCATAGGCAGAGTGGTCCGAAGAGAGCAAGCACACCACCAGTGCAACATATTAGTGACGGGCACGAGTACAGTCAGAGGATGTTTGGAGCAAGAAAGGTACAGAACAAAGCGAAAGAGCGTCCCACCTGCAACGGTCGAGTCGACAGCAAATCCCTTCAGGGGAATCTCAAAGAACCGGGTGGTCGCAGCAGGGAAGTTCGGGGGCTTGACAGCTCCACACTGCACCAATAAAAAGACATTATTACATTACACAAGACACATTCAAGGATAGCGCAGATGACCGCAGCCTGTTTCCAACGTGTTTCCAGATCTGAATAGGAGAATGGGATGTACCTGATAGAGGACGTAGGTAGTGTCGTCATAGCTGTTCTTGACGACCTTGTAATAGCTACCGTACTGCACCGTGAAGTCATTCGCAGTCTCCACGACAGTCTGGCTGATTGGCAGAGCAAACGGCTCGTCCTGGTACTGGTCCGGGAAATAATTCACAGTAGGATCGAAGTTCGTGATGCAGCCATCTGCGGGTTTCGGAGCAGCCGCAGAAGCCTGAACGGCCAACGAGGCCACCAGCAAGGCGATCAGAGGGTAAGCCATGGCGTCGTTCTTGAAAGTTCGGCCTCCTTTTCCAAGAACCAAGCTAAGCAGACTGGCCAAACATTCAACCATTTAATCCAAGCTGTAGAAATGAGAATGTCGACGGGCTTGGCTTGGGGGGAAGGGGGGCGGTGGAGGGGCCGAGGGGAGAACGAAGCGGAGAGGCTAAGGACGTGACGTCGCAACTGTAGCAGCTGGCCCTAGAGATTGCGGAATCTGGGTTTGGGGGGAGGGGGGGGGGGGGGTGCAGCTGCAGAAGCCTCCAGACTGTTACTGTATGCCCCGCGGAGTTGGACGCGCGGGGGTAACCAGCAGCTGGCGCGTAGGCGGAAGGGGGGAGGAAACCAGCAATTGCGGCTGGTGGTGTCCGTGGCCACGTCGGACAATTGGCAAAAGCACTTCGTGTGGGGAGAGCCCCTCCGTGAATGGCGCACATGCCAGGCCAGCAATCCAGCACCACACACAACGAAGACTTTGTCGAGTGCCCAGATTTCATATTCAGCCAATCAAAGAAACTCGTATGAAACTGCTCGGTCACAGCGAAACTTTTAGAGGCCATGAGCTGCGGAGATCGTGGAAATACATCTTGCTGCCAACGCTGTTTGACGCCAGTTGAATTTACTGTAGCAAATCCATCCCAAAAAATGTTCGATAAACAATCATCACTAAATCCAGTTACTTCAAAATGTCATCTTCACATGAACGGTTAATGGTTGAACAATGCACACAAGCTGGAGAAACGTAGCAGGCAATAGCATCCACACATTAGCACACTAAACCACACTGATGTGCGGTTACTAGAAGTCATCGGGCAAATGCGAAGTCAAGTGCGCCTGCACCGCCAACGCAGCTTCCTGCTTCTCCTCATGCGTGCGCGGCTTCAACCCCTTGTTAAACTTCTTCTGATACACCCTCAGCGGCAAGAACGAGCACGTCACCTTCCTCCCTGCATACACCCGCCCGTGCAGCATATGCGCCGCCCGGCTCGCACTCTCCTCCCTTGAAAACTCCACATAAGCCCGCCCAATCCTCCACTTCTCCACCTCCCTCTCCTGCTTCCTAGCAGCTTCCACCAAATCCCCCATCCCTCTAGACCCCGCCAACACTATCGCCCCGGGGTGCCCTGGCTTACCTGCTTCCCCAGGCTTCCCCACCTGCCCTGGCTGGTGCCCCAGCAACCCCTTGCCAGCACCAGGGGGCGGAGCACCCGGGGCAAACGGGGCAGGGAAGCGAATAGAGCCAGGAGCGCCTAGGGTGGCAGCTGGGGTGGCAACGCCTGGGGTGGTAACACCTGGGGGAGGTACATCCACGCCTGGGGGGAGGAGGACTGGGGGGCGGAAGGGGGCGGGGAAGGTGACTCCAGGGATGAGTGGCATGGGGGGCCCGGGAGCAGGCATGCGCACTGGGGGAGGGAAGGCCACCGAGGCTGAAGGGGCTGGTATCGGGGCAGCAGTTGCAGCAGCCGCAGCAGCAGCAGCAGCAGCAGCAGGGGCTGTAGCTCCAGCAGTGGCAGCAGGTGCAGCAGGGGCAGCAGCGGCTGCAGCTGATGCTGGTTTCGCCTCACTGCTTTCCTTGCCTTCCTTGGCTTCCTCCGCACCGGCTGCCTCTGCCTTGGCCTCCACAGTCACCTCAGGCTCGCTCTTTACAGCCACGGCAGCCTCTGTTGCTCCCTCTGCTGTCTCCAACTCCTGCTTACCTCCCTCACCCTCTACGTTTCCAGCCGCCTCGCCCTCTCCATCTGCCTTCTCTGCGGTTGCTCCCTTTTCAACTTCAGCAACCCCTTCACCTTCCCCTCCCTCCGCTTCCTCTTTCTTCTCCTCGGTTCCTTCCTTCTCATTCTCTTCCTTCTCCCCTGCGCTCTCCTTCTCTTCCCCCTCTCCAGCTTTCTCCTCCACCTTACCCTCCTCTCCCCCCTTTCCCTTCTCCCCATCATCATCCTCTGGAGTCGTCTCATAAACCTCTTCTTTCGCCCCCTCAGTCCCCTCCTCTCCTCCAACTTTTCCCCCATCCTCCTCCCCCTCTACAGTCACGTTCAGATCAAGCGCAAACCCTCCCCCACCCTCAGATTTCTTTTCCTCAGCACTTCCACCCTCCTTGTCTCCTTCGGCTGCCCCTTCTGCTGCCCCTTCAGCTGCCCCTTTTGCTGCTGCCCCTGTCTCGGCCTCTGCAGTTTCAGCAGCTGCAGCAGCAGCAATGTCAGCCAAGCCATCAAGAGCCTCCCCTTCCGCCTCACCACTCCCCTTAGACGGAAGCACACCCCCCTCCACCTCCTCCTCCTCCCCCTTCTCTTCCTTCTCTATAACCACCTCAACCACATCACTATCCGAATCCTCCTCTTTCGCCACCTTCTCCTCCTCTCCTACTGCTTCCACACCTTCCCCACCCTCCTGCTCTTCCTTCCCTTCACCAACCGCCTCACTCGTGACACCTCCCTCTCCCTCCGCTTCTCCGTTCTCAGCTTTCTCGACCTGTGCTTCTTTCATCTCTTCATCTCCGCCCTCCTTCCCACCCGCCTCATCCTGCGCCTCCCGCTTCCCATCAGCCCCCTCCCCTTCTGCTGCTGCACCTGCCTCTGCTGCTGCGCCTCCCTCTGCTGCTCCTTCCACCTTCTCTTCCGCCTTCTCCCCTGCCTCATCCCCAGCCACCGTTTCAGCATCCATCATAACTTCATCCTTACTCTCATCCCCCTTATTACCCTCCTCTTTTCTATCTCCTTCCTTACTCCCCTCCTTCCCAGCATCCTTCTCCCCCTCCTGCTCCTCCTTCACTTCCTTCTCACCATATCCTGCTGCTGCTCCCTGCTCACCCTCTTTCACCTCCTCCCCTCCCTCCTTAACCTCCTCCTCCTCCTCCTCTGCCTTCTTCTCCTCCCCCTCCACCTCTTTCGCTTCCTCCTCTACCTCCGCTTTATCCTCTTCCTTCCCCTCCTCCTCTTCTTCCTTGACCCCTTCCAACCGTCCCTTCACCACTTCCTCCTCTTCCTTGTCTTCCTCCTCCTCCTCACTGTCGCTATCGTCAGCATCGGCAACGTCTTTAGGTCGCACGATGTGCAGCGATTTGACAGTGCCAAACCTGCACGCGGAAAGATAAAAAGGCACGCATAAGCTCACACGCGGAATTGAACGTGCAAAAAATCCACACATAGGTGAACAGTAGAAAAGAGTCACATAGATGAACAATAAAAAAGACGAGTGACATAGGTGAACAAGAGAAAAGAGTCACATAGATGAACAATACAAGACCACAAGCCGCAGCCAGAGCAGATGATGCAACAAGCACCAGCGAAAGCATGACATGCATCAGCTGTTGGCGCTCCCTGCCACCGTTCACATCCTCACTTCACTCTCAATTCCCACTCTGCTCCCTCCCACTTCCTTTCCGCAACCCCGTCCCCCTTCACCCCCCGTCCCCCTTCACCCCCCGTCCCCCTTCACCCCCCGTCCCCCTTCACCCCCCGTCCCCCCCCCCGCCCCCCCCCCCTAACCACCTTCCACCAAGACCCCTTATCCCTAGCGCACCGCTTGCACTCGAGACGAATGTCCTCCTCTAGATCCTCAAACTCTTCCTCGCTCATCGCCTTGAGCTCCTTCTTGGTCATCTGTGGGAAGTGAGTTTGCATGAAACGGGACAGGACGAAGGGAAGTCGGGGAGGAGGGGAAGGAGGAGAACAGAGAGAGATGAGACAACAGCACTCAAGGGGAGCAAGGAGGCTCCCCTTAAGGCGATGAGCTCAAGGGGCCTCAGGTGTACCTTGCATCTTAGGAGGTTCGATCGACCTCAGCAGGTTACAGATGTCATGTTACAACTCTCACCAGGATGTAAAGGCCACGTCTCACCACTCACCAGGTTACAGATCTCCAGAATGCGTGTGGGCGTCTGCATGAGAGGCTTGGCCTCCTCGGGGATGGAGTAGGTGGGAGTGGCGTCCGCAGGGGGCTGCAGGCAGGGCGGACAGGGGGGGGTGGGGGGGGTGGGGGGGACAGGGCAGAGGGGAGGGAAGCAGAGGCGAGGAAAGGGGAGGAATGGGAAGGACAAGCTGAGATGTCTCCGTGAGCAGCTTGGCCTCCTCAGGAATAGAGAAGGTGGGGGTGGCGTCAGGGGGCGGCTGCAGGCAGTAACACCAAAAGAGTGGGGGAGAGAAAAAGGAGGGGGGGGGGGGAGATCGGCCAAGGGCAGGGATTAGGGGAGCAGGGGGGGAGGGGTGAACAGACAAGGCCAGCAGGATGGCTCTGACAGACAAGTGATAAGGCGCAGCTGCGACGACAGTGAGGATGGAGTGGATTTGGGGTGAAGACAGCTCACCCGGTGGCAGTCAGCAGAGACCAGAACGTGGTACCAGTGAGGGTGGATTTGATGCATCTTGCTCGGGTACCAGAGGGAGTAGGGACAACTGTACGTGAGAGAAGAATAGCTGTACCTCTTCAGGAGCATCAGGCGTGGCTCTGACGACGGTGAGGATGGAGTGGTGGCCCAGGGGCAGCCCGTTCAGGCCAGCCTGTGCTGCACTCGTCACGCTCGGATCCATGTACTGCAGTGGGGCATGCAATAACGGGACACACAAGAGCAGGTCACACGATCATGGGCCAAATGATGGGTGGGAGGGAGGGAGACAACACAATGTAGCAGCAAATGAGCGCGATGAACGAAACCGGAGTAAGAGGCAATCACAAAGGAAGCAACAGATAGCAGATTACCAGTCACAAAGGAAACCTCAATGAACGCGAACGCGGGAAGGGGAAGGGAGGGAAGGGTAGGGGAAGGGAAGGGAGGTGGTGCAAACCTGAGATGACAACACTCCAGCGTTACAATAAACACCACAAGAGTCTAATTTTTTTAGACACCTAAATAATAGATGACAATACTCCAGAGTTACGATAAACACCACAAGAGCTCACCTCAGTGAACGCAAATGCACGTGGGGGCTTGGAGGTTAGGTCGAGCTCAGGTGCGTTGAGAGGAGTCTAAGATACTGGACAGTGCGGGGGCGAGGAGAGCAGCAGACAGCATACCTCGGTGAACGCAAATGCGCATGGGGGCTTGGAGGTTAGGTCGAGCTCAGGTGCGTTGAGAGGAGTCTAAGATACTGGAAAGTGCGGGGGCGAGGAGAGCAGCAGACAGCATACCTCGGTGAACGCAAATGCGCGTGGGGGCTTGGAGGTTAGGTCGAGCTCCCTGCGGAAGGCCCTCAGCTGCCCAAACGCTGACAGCACCTCGCGAATCTGATGCATGTTGCAGAGAGATGGAGAGGGGTGCAGAGCAGTGTAGAGAGGAGTGGAGAGGAGTGGAGGGGAGTGGAGGGGTGTAGGCTTTCGGGTAGAGGACAGGGGGTTCAGATGGCGTGAGGAATATACAGGGATGATGAGAGGTGCATGAGGGGATGGCAGGCACGCGGGCATCGGGCCATAACGCCATGGTGAGTGGAGCATGCAGCATGCGAGAAGAAAGCAGAAAAATGTGCGAAAGGGGAGGGGAACACGGGTTGGGGGGGGAGGGAGGGTGGGGAGGGGAGCGAGGGGAGTGACGAGAGAAAAGTGTGCGAGAAGGAGAAAAGGTTTGTTTTGAGACGTCTCAAAACCAACCTTATATCACAAGGAGAAAACAGGAAGGCATTAACAGGGTGTTTTTAGAATTCTCAAAAAAACCCTGCAAAAGAAAACGGGAAGGCATTAACTTACACAAGATCCAAGTGAGAGAGGACGCATGGCACAGGAGCACAGGAGCCATGGTGCAACAGCGTACCTTTTCAGCGGATAGCGAGGGAGGGATGCCGCCTATGAACACCTGTACACGATGCAGCACCGCACACCACCGCACCGCACACACCATCCAATGCACCATCAGATGCAGCATCACATGCAGCATCACATGCAGCATCACACACACCATCACATGCAGCATCACACACAACATCACATGCAGCATCACGCCATACCATGCATCATACACAGCATAGCATACACCATCACATGCACCATAAATCCCTTCACCCTCTCTTCCACGCACATGCCCCCTCCCCCCCACCGTCAACCAGAGCCCTAAACCCCTCACCAATAGCAAGCATACATACAACCCCCCCCCAAAGAAAAAACCACACCTTGTTCTCCCCACATTCAAAGCAGAACAACACAGGGCGGGGGGGAGAAAAAAGGAAACAGCAAGGGAATGTGTGAGGGACTACCAAGGGCACAACAGCCAAAGTCAACGGGGCTCTTTTGAATTGAGACAATGTAGAATGAAAAGGGCTACCAGAGGGAGGATCGCGCCAAAAAGAGAAACTGTCAACCGTGATCCGTGCCCCGCAGTGCACCTCACTCGCACCCCACACAACTCACCTTGTTCGGCCCATCCGGCGCCATGCTCGTGATGACCTCCTTGGCAGCAGCGGCGGCAGGCACCACTATATTTCCGTGCCCTGTGCCCCACATTGCACCTTACCCTGTAGCCCCCTTTGCACCTCACCCGCACCCCACAGCCACAACGCACCTTGTTCGGCCCATCCGGCACCACGTTCGTGATGACCTCCTTGGCAGCAGCAGCCACAGTCCTGGGCACACCCCCACCCAGCGCAATTGCATTCGAGTCCGTGCCTCCTGGCTGCAAGGCGGATAAGGGGGGGGAGGGGAGGGGGGGAGGAAAGGTGGATTGTAACCTGTGAGAGTCAGCTCAAAAAACACCCCACACCACGTTCGTGATGACCTCCTTGGCAGCAGCCGCGACAGGCTTCAACACTCCACACCCTCCAAGTCACGGCGTTCATGCATCCGAGCTGGAATGGGGACAGGGGGGAAGGGGGGGGGGAAGATGCGACAGGGGGAGGGGAGAAGATGCGACAAGGTGGCTCCAAAAACCATCCGGCACTACGTTGGTGGCGACCTCCGTCGCGGCAGCAGCCACAGGCCTGCTCCCCCCTCCCTCCCCTCCCCCCCCCCCCCCCCCCCCAGAGTGATTGAATTGGGAGAGGGGATACGCGGAACCATGGAGAAGAGGAGAAGAAACAAGACGAGGGACATGGAATAAGGGCTGCAGGTTCCGGGGATAAGGGCAGAAAATGTGAAGGGGGCTTTCGAGTCGGCTCAAAAGTCACCACGTGGAATCAGTCAGGAAGGAGAGTTGCAGGTTCCGGGGGATAAGGGCAGAAAATGTGGAGGGGGGGATGTGGAGGATGCGGAGCAACATGAAGGTGGGATGGGAACACGCTACAACTGCCTTACTGCGATCATGGGGTTGTAGTCCTTGGGGCGGCGGATCTTGAGCCCCACGCCGTGCAGCACGATGCCGTCCAGCTGCAGCGCGGTTGTAGCGTCCTCGGGCTTCTCAAACTCCGCGAACGCGAACCCCTTCTCCTTGTTCGACTGCATGCAGGGGGGGAGGAGGGGGGTGGGGAGAAAGAGGGGGGGGGAGAAGGGGGGGGGAGGAAGGGGGGGAGAAAGAGGGGGAGAAGGGGGGGGGGTGGAGGGTGGTGGGGGGGGGAGGTTGGGAGAATGAACACGATGAAGCAGCTGTAGCGCGGTTGTAGCGTCCTCCAGCAGCTCAAACTCCGCGCGAAGGCCAGCCCCTGTCCCTTGTTCTACAGCGCACAGTAGAGCAAGCGGATTAGGATTAGAAAGGGGAAGTAAAGGTGGGGGCCGATCGGAGGGAAACTCGCAAGGGAGGGACGGGGGAAGAAGTTGACGGAGGAAGTGGGAAAGGAGGGCGTTGAAAGCGCAATTTTTGAATGCTAACTCATCTAAACCGAAACGCGGATGTGCTCACGGCAATCCTAAAGCACTCGCTGAGCTCGAGCTATACTTTTGAGTCGACTCAAAAGTCACCTAAAGCACCCTCTGAGCTCGAGCTATTTCAGAACCGCTGCCTCGCAACACTACTACCAAAAATGATTAACCCTGTCAAGAACGGGCCCTTTGGAAACGCGGATGCACTAACAGCGATCCGAAAGCACTCACCGCGAGTGACCGTGACAGCGATGCACCAACCTCAATCGACACTACCACACGCTGAGCACCACCCGTAATCCTCACCAACTGACCGTGACGTCGATGCACGGCTTGCGCCCACCCTCCTCCGCGGCGTCGGTGGACGCGGTGGACGCCGCCATGCACGCCATGCACGACATGGACGCGGTGGAGTTGCTGGAGGCAAAGGGGTTCGGCACTGCCCCACCGCGTCCATGGAGCTCCAGCAGCTCGTTGTCCGTCACTGCCTTGCGCCACCGAGGCGCCAACCGTGACAGCCACGCACCATTCAGAAACCGTGCCCCACTCACCGTGACAGCTCGTTGCCCGTCGCCACATTGTTACGCCACGTTCTCCACGTACCGTGATAGCGACAGCGATACACTAGCCCTCACAGACACCAACACGCGAGCCAAACCCAGAACCCCACTCACAGTAGCGGCAATGCACGGCTTGCGTGCGGCCATCCTCCTCTGCGTCGATGGACGCCATGGGCGCGTTCACAAACTCCAGCAACTCGCTGCCTGTCACCGCCAGCACCGCCCAGGAACCAACCGTGACAGCCACGCACATTCAAAACCCGAGCCCCACTCACCGTGACGGCGATGCACGGTTTGCGGCCGTCCTCCGCGGCGTCGATGGACGCCATGGACGCGTTCACAAACTCCAGCAGCTCGTTGTCCGTCACGGCCGGCGCCACGTTCCCCACGTACAGCCGCCGCGCCGGCCGCGTCAGCTGCGCCAGCGACGGCGCGGGCATCCCCCCGGGCTGCGACAGAAGCCCCGCGCCTTCCGCGCCCCCCCCCGGCGCGCCCCCGGTGAGGCTCGGCGGAAGGATCCCCTGCGCCGCGGCGGCTAACGCCGCGGCTGCCTTCTGCTGCGCCTCCTGCAGCTGCTGCGCCAGCTCCGGGTTCATCGGCGCGGAAGGTTGCGCCTGCGCCAGCGGTTGCGGGGCAGTTTGTTGGTACGAGTCGTAACCCCCCGCGTCGTATTGCACGCCAGTTGTTTGCGGAATCAGGTGCTGCTCCTGCGCGGCTGCGGTGATCGCTGCGGCGGTCTGCTGCGCCGCTGCCACCTGCTGCGCCAACATTGCGGGATCCAGCATCGACGCGCCCATGGCCCCCATGCTCCCCATCCCGCCGAACCCGCCCATTCCGCCGAAGCCCATCGCGGCGGTCTGCGTGGCGGCGATTTGCTGAGCGGCTGCCACGTGTGCCATGACCGACGCGATCGCAGGGTCCACGCCTTCAGGGCCCTGGTCCCACCCGCGCTTCTTCCTCCTCTCCGGCGACGGCTGCTTGCGAGCGCGCGACGACGGCGACGGCGTGCGATTCCCCTGCTCGCCTTCGCGACGCCTGGGCGAGTAGCCGCCTAGCCGCCTGCTGCTCCGACGGTGACGGCCGCCGTCAGGTGACCTACTACGGTCCCGCTTCTTGTCGCGATCACGATCGCGATCCCGCTCCGAGCCCCTCTCCCTCTCCCTATCCTTCTCTCTCCCCTTGTCCTTCTCTCTCTCCCGATCCTTATCCCTCCCGCGGTCTCGCCCTCTGTCCCTATCCCTATCCCTATCCCTGTCCCGATCGCGATCTCGGTCCTTGTCCCTGTCTCGACCCTTATCCTTATCCTTATCTCTGTCCTTCTCCCGGTCTCTCTCCCGGTCGCGGTCTTTCCGGTCCTTGCGATCTTTCTTCTCCTCCTTCGCCTTTTCTTGTTGAGAATCCGTGACATCCGCCGTGACATCCGCGGCTCCCGCGAGTTCCTCCTTATTAGGCTCCTCGTGATCCGCCATGACGCAAATTAACGCTTCACCAAATGGTATTTCTTCAGTCCCCTTACGAATTGCTATGTTCAGGAGCCAAGATCTCAGCTGGTCGGAATTAGTCTAAGAACACTGGGTTCATAGAGATCCGACTGCCCAAAATTAGCAGCACAAGGCTACTGGAATAGAAATTAGTAGCATACACCGAAGCTTAACAAAAGCAAAATACACAACGCCAATGGGGACGAAGAGAAACTCCTCTACATCGCCTACCCGACGCTGGATCCAGTCGGGAACCAAAACGCGGTAGCGACGGCAAGGCAATACTAAAGAAGGTGAGGAAATGGAGGACAATCGTGTCACCTGCTGACCTAGGGATTTGTTTCGGGGTTCAGGCAGGCATGGCTGGGCGCTAGGGCTGTTTGGGGAAGGGGAAGAAAGTGAGGTGATCGGGCTGGCTGGGGTTTGAACACTTGTACTGTAAAGGCTGGGGAATTTCAGCACGTGACCGCTTGGTTACATTGCCTGTACCAGGATATCGCTGCGAAATATGTCGCACAGGGGAAATGTAACAGAGTGCTCGGAATATTTCGTGCCCAACCAACCAGTCTCCATCTCCTCCAACCAATTCTTGGTTCTGCTTTCCCCGCGCGATCTAAAATCTTGCCTCGGGATTGTCCCTCTTGAATCCTGATTCAGATTTTTCTTTCAGATTTTTCAACGAACTCTTTCAGTAGCAGATTATTCTCTGGTTCTAGTGCCAGCCATGGCTTCTTTGAGAGTTCTTACTCTGCTCGTTGTAGCACTCGGTTTCCTGAGCGTCGCGCAGAATGTGATCGCCGAGACAGCGGAATCTTCTGCTGAGGTCCCATTCCTGCTGGTGTCTAAATCCGTGAAGATCAAGAAGATCAGGGAGGACAATGAGGACATCACCGTGAACATTAAGATCTACAACGCCGGCGGAAGGTATATTACGATCCCGTATTCCTCGGTCGAAGTGCTTATCTTTCGCTCCGCAGCATCGTGTATTAATCTGCGCATCGTTTTCTGACCTCCGCTTTATTCATGTCATTCTCCGCTTCTCTCGCAGCATCGCGTACGATGTCTCATTGGACGACGAGAACTGGCCGTCGGACCTGTTCGAGGTGGTCGGCAACGCCACACACTCCTGGGACTCCCTCGCCATGTAAGCTGATCGTGGAGCTCTTCTGGCAGATTGGTTGATTCAGGTCTTCATTTCATTCAGGTTTTCTTTTCCGAGGTCTAGATGTGCGCTGATTTTCTTGAAGATAGTTTAATTGCTTTCCTGATCAGTTGTGTTACCTGGCTTTTGTCTACGATCTGCGGTGTACACGGTTCATTGTCGCAGGGGAACATCCGTTTCGCACTCGTACGTCGTCAAGCCCAAGGAGAAGGGCACCTTCGTCACCCCGCCGGCTACCGTCAAGTTCCGGGTCACGTCCCAGGCTCAGCTTCTGGTTAGTGACGCAAATCTCACATTACCAGAAACTATATTGGAACACTAAGCTTGTCCATGATACTACAGGGATACTTTGGCGACGCAAGGACATAACTTTGTGCCTCGTCTGTATACTTCCTTAGTCTCATTAAATTTCACTCGTTGATTTGCTCCTCTCAGACGGCCAAGTCCACGGGCGTGCCTGAGCTGGACCTGCTGGCTCCTGAGGCTCAAGGCGCCAAGTACCTCTGGGTGAGTCGCCTTCCCTTCTCGCTGCGAGTTTCAATTTCACTAGTCAAAACTTCTGGCTGATGTTAAGGTCGATGGTGGTGTTTCCAGGCTTGCGTTCTGAAATGTAGACTCGAAAGAATGGAACAGAAGTGAGCGTTGAAGCACTTGAAGAAGACGCCCTGTTAGAAAACTAGCTTTTTTTCTCCTTGTACAGTGAAGCCTCCCGTCCGCGTTCTTGATCCGTGCGTTCTTGATCCGTGCGTTCTTTCCTTCTCTGTCCCCCTTGTGTGCAACTGCGCGTCGTATGTCCGCACGCTCTGATGGATCGGTTCTTCGCGTAACGGTGCTGCATGGACCGATTATCATGATCAGCTGAAGGTATGCACTATCCAGTGATTCCAAACTGGACTTTCCATTGCGTCCTCTGCATTACCTCCACCATACCTGTTATTCTGCACCTTCTAGTTTCTTGCATCCTTCCAGAATACCTGTTTCTTGCCAATCCCCCCCCCCAATCTTTTCCTGTCCTTCCATCCGCCTCACTTGCAGTTGTGATCCTCCCCATTCCCCCAGCCACCTCTCACTCCACTAGCGTGTAACCTCCCTCACCAACTCACCCACTGACAACCTTACTGGGTCACAAATTGAATCACCAATTCACTCACCCTGCACTCCCTCCCCCCCCCATCCTCTCACTCCCCTCACCAGGACCTAGCCATTCAGTTCGGGCCTCTGGTGGGAGCCCTCTCCCTCGTGGGCGTGGCTCTCCTCATAGTCTTTGCGCCTATCACCTCCAAGCGCTCCTCCAAGAAGCGCCGATAGAGAAGATCCGTGTTTCTTGGAGTGATGCCCTTCCCATCAAATAGTATAGTAGTGCTTCCCCGTGACTGGTGCACTCCAGCGGATCGTGCCACTAACTTTGGTCGAACTCACAGGTCACTGCAGTGATGCTTCGACTGGTACTATCCTCGCATCACATCGCTCTGGTTTTGCTGTGAGCCATGGCTGGTGCCCTTATGGGATTTAAGGATACTAGATGGGTTGAAGCTGCATTCATGAGGCTACGTTTTGCAGAGTGAAGCTACTGGTGCTGCCCTGAAATACAATTGTTGCAATCAGTGTCAAACATCTCCTTGTATGATGTTATAGACTACACAGGGTTGTGCCTTAGAGAGTACAACCCACAAGGTTATATTCCCTTGTATGCAATGGTTCTGGTCATTCGTGAAATTCAACATGGTACCATGAGTAGGTTAGGTCCCCCCCGCCCACCAATGCTTCCGCCATAGGTCCTAGCCGCCCCATCGCCCTCCCACCCGTGCTGGCCCGTTCCCTAGTGGCTCCCGTCACCTAGCGCCTAGCTGGCCCCGTTGCCTAGTCGGCCCCGTCGCCCAGCCGGCCCTGTCGCCTAGCCAGTCCCATTGCCTATCCGGCCCCGTCGCCTAGCCGGCCTCGTCGCCCAGCCGGCCCCGTTGCCTAGTCGGCCCCGTTGCCCAGCCGGCCCCGTCGCCTAGCCGGCCCCGTCGCCTAGCTGGCCCCGTCGCCTAGTCGGCCCCGTTGCCCAGCCGGCCCCGTCACCTAGCCGCCTAGTCGGCCCCGTCGCCTCGCCGCCCACGGCCCCGTCTCTTAGCAGCCACGCGGCCCCGTCTTCCAGCCGCCACGCGGCCCTGTCTCCTAGCCGCTCGGCAGCCCCGTCGCCTGACCGCCCTGCGGCCCGGTCGCCTGCCCGCCATGCGGCCCCTGTTGACCAGCCGCCCCGCGGCCTCGCTGCCCAGCCTCCTCGCGGCCCCGTCCCTCAGCTGCCCCTGCACCTCCCACCTTGCTTCATCGGCCATTCCCACCGCTCTGCACCGCACACCACTGCTTCCCACTGCACTCTGTCGCTCGGTACAGCCCACTACCGCCATTCTGCTGCTGCAGCGACCATGATGGCAGACTCAGTGCTGCGCTTTGACGCGGAGGGTCAGCCGGTTGAGTTCGAAACATGGCTCCTCCGTCACCTCACTGGTCAGCGGCAGGATGAGGCCGTTCACATCGACGGTACGCTCCACTGCCCTGACCCCCCTGCTGCTCTACCCGCTGACCCCACGTCTGCTAACCATGAGTCAGCTGCCGCTGCTACCCTTGCCCGTGTTGTCTGGTTGTCGCATGACGCTGTCGCACAGCTCGCGATTAGTCATGCCCTCCCCCTGTCTGAGCGCCCCCGCTTTAGGTCGGTCAGGACTGCACAGGAGTTCCTAGAGGCTGTTGTCACGCGCTATTCCACCCCGCCCTCTGCCTCCATCGATCGCCTGATCCTGCCCATGCTCTTTCCTTATCTCGCGTCTTTCTCCACTGTCGCTGACTTGGCCGCCCACTTGCGCACGCTAGACACGACCTGGTGCGCTGCCTGCACTGAGGCCCAGCTTCATGTGTTTCAGCCCCCCATCTGCTCTAACCTCTACCTGCTTGCCACCCGCTTCCCTGACCGCCTTGCTACCGCCTGCGATCACTTTCTTAGTCTCCACCCCGCTGACCTCACCCTCATTGACTTTGTCGATACCTTGTCTGTCATAGAGACTCGTCAGCGTTCTATCGCCCAGTCTAGCGGTACTGTGACGGTCACTGTCTTTCAGGGCTGTGCCCCCCCTCAGTGTGCTTACTCTGACGGTACAGCTGTCGTCGCTGAGACAGCCCCTACTGTGGAGACTGTCGCCGCGGCTGCCGCAGCCCCAAGGCTGGGCGCGGCGGAGGTAGCGGAGGAGAGGGTGGAGGTGGTTCGCTTGCTGGCAGTACTGACAAGGGGGCTGGGGCTGGTGCCTCGGAGCAGCAGCCCCAGCAGCAGCAGCAGCAGGCGCCGCAGCTGGACCACCAGCAGCAGCAGCACCAGCAGCCGCAGCAGCAGCAGCAGCGGCGGGTCGGCCGTCTCCCGCCCGGGTGGCCTGGCACCGATGGTGGAGGTGGTCGCAGTGGTCGTGCGCGCAGCGTGACATCGAGTGGTGGTCAGAGTGACGGACGCTGCCAGTACCAGCTCCTGACCGGTCCTCGCCGCTGCCTCGTGTGTGGTAAGATCGGCCATACCCCCACTCGTTGTTTCAGTCGCCTAGACGACCTGTTTCGTCTCCACTTCGGCCCGGCGCTAGACCTCCCTGATTTGCACAGTCTGCTCCGCCGTAGTGTTAGGATATTTGATATGGACATAGACGAGATTAGCTCTGCTTTGTATGTGTTGTATGTCGATGACTCTAGTGTGACTTGTTCCTATTACCCCTTGCTGCCTAGTGTAGGTGTGACTAGTTCAAGCTCTCCTGCTACGTCAGGCGTAGGATCCCTTGCTTTGTTTAGCCTTGGCTCCACCCTCGCTCCTCCGACCCCTGCTGTCACTACCGCGCTCTCCTTCACCCTGGACTCCGGCGCTTCCCGGTGTTTCTTTCGGAACTCCACTACACTTACATCGCTTGCCGCTCCCGCCGCAGTTGTACTTGCAGACCCTTCCTCATGTCCTATAGTCACCCGTAGCTCGACCACCCTTCCCTGTCCGGCGGTTCCTTCGGGCTCCCCTATAGGCCTGCACATCCCCTTGTTCTCTAGGAACTTTGTTGGTGTCGGTTGCCTCCAGGACCTTAGCGTCACCACTACGTTCCCTGGTCATGAGCGGTACTCTGTCTGTACCGAGGCCGCCACTGGTGCTCCCCTCAGCACGTTCCCCCGGGACCAGGTGTCTGGCCTGTTCACGTTGGACACTGCGGCCCCCCCGGTTGGGACGTCTCCCCAGGTATTTGCATCTACCCAGGTTGCTTCGGCTTGCTCTTGTCGGTCGCTTACTCACCCCACGGCTTCTATGGCACCACCGTCTAGGTTACCCTGTCCTCACACGTCTCCGTCACATGTCTCAGCACGATCTTGTCTTAGGTCTCCCTGAGTCGTTCCCCGTGCTACCCTCCTCACCAGCGCCACCGTACATGCCCTGCGTCGAGGGCCGGCTCCGCCGTGCCCCTCACTCCTCCTCGTTCCCCCCCACCGCCGCACCGCTGCAGACCCTGCACATGGACGTCTGGGGCCCCGCCCCCGTCCATGGGCTGCGTCGAGAGTGCTTGTCGACGACTACACGCGCTACACCACTGTGTTTCCCCTAGATCGGTTCTTATCTCGTGGCTTGTCTCTGCGTGTGTTCACCGAGGTCTCCCTATCTTGCGTCTTCACTCTGACCGTGGTGGCGAGTTCGCCTCTGGCTGCCTTGGTCGCTTCTGTCGTGCGGAGGGCATCACCCAGACGTTCACCTTGCCGGACTCCCCGCAGCATAATGGGGTCGCTGACCGACGCATCGGTTTGGTCATGGAGGTGGTTCGGACCTCCATGATCCATGCCGATGCACCCCATTTTCTGTGGCCATTTGCTGTTCGCTACGCCGCTCACCAGCTTAACCTGTGGCCGCACCCTCAGCAGCCGCAGGTTTCGCGGACCCTCCTCTGGACCGGGTCCCCTGGGGATGCATCTGCGTTCCACGTCTGGGGCTGCCTTGCTCACGTTCGTGCCTCTAGCACGGACAAGCTCACTGCCCGCACCGTCCCCTGTGTCTTCCTTGGTTTCCCCCTTGACTCATCTGACTGTCATTTCTACCACCCGCTGTCTCACCACTTTTTTCACTCCCGCGACGTCACCATTGACGAGTCCGTCTCCTTTTACCACCGTTTTCCCCACCGTGGTCCCCCAGTAACCCCCCCCCTGTTCCTGGTTCCCCCTCCCCCGGTTGCCCCGGCTCCCCCCCCTCCCCTCCCTGCCCCGTATGGTGTGTCTCACGTCACCCCTCTCCCGTCGGGTGTCCCTGCCGAGGAGTCTGCTGACTTTCGCGGCTCTGCGGAGTCCCTCCCCTCGCCCCTCCCCGCCCCGGTCTCCTCTCCCTGGCTGCCGCCATTGCTGTCACCGCCGCAGCCGCCTCTACCACCGCCGTCGCCGCCGTCGTCCCCGCCGCTGGGGTTCGTGCGTTCTGGGGGTACTGGAGAGCGTGCTGGAGCGGGTACTGGAGCGGGTTCCCGTTGTGGGGGTTTTGGCGTGGAGCTTCTTGGAGGGAGCTGTGCTGTCGCTGGAGTTTCTGGTGTTGGAGTTGGGCAGCAGTCGTCGCAGTCACCACCGGTGTCCACTCTTTGCCTCCTCGGTCTTCCTTCCTCTAACCGCCTGCCAGTGCCTCCTCCGTCGCCGCCGCTTCCTCCTCTGCTAGTCTACGGCCCAGTGTTTCCTCCCCCAGACTCCTCTCCGGCTCGTTTCCCTCCACGTTCTCCTCCTGTTCTCCTCCCCTCTCTCCTGACCCGACTCCTCCGTCTCACGTCTGGTCTCGTCGTCCGTCTCGTGCTCCTCCTACCTCCCCTGTTCACCGGTCTCACCCTATGTTGCTTCACTCCCATGCGTCTCGTGCTCTGACTTCCTCCGTGCTGTGCATCCCCTTGTTCTCTGTGTCCTTGCCTCTCTCCTTACCGACCCGTCCGTTCCTGTCTCGAGTCTGTCGGCTCTTGTCGCTGCTGTCACTGACTTCGCCACTATCCGCCGCCTTGACTATGCCACTGCTCTGGTCTCTGACCCTGCCTGCCCTCCGTCCGTCAGGGGTGTGGCTGCCTTGGCAGTGACGCCCTAGAGGACAGGCAGTACGAGCTCGCTTTCCTGTCTGAGGCCGCTCCCCATCTCTGTTCCATGCTGCTAGTCCCTGAGGGTGACCCAGACGCCCTTGACATCCCGACCCCTCGCACCTACGCTGAGGCCACCTCGGGACCCTGGGCCTCTCAATGGATAGCTGCCATGGAGCAGGAGATGGCATCTCGAAGATCCACCGATACCTTCGTCGACGCAGTTCCCCCACCTGAGGTGAACGTAGTCGATGGTCGATGGCTCTTCAAGGTGAAGCGCCCTCCTGGAGAGCCGCCTATCTTCAAGGCATGCTACGTTGCTCGAGGCTTCAGTCAGCGCGAGGGGGTGGACTTCTTTCAGACCTTCGCCCCGACCCCGAAGATGACTACTCTTCGGGTGCTACCACACGTAGCAGCACAGCGTGACTACAAGCTTGCACTCCCTCGGCTTCTCCATAGCTTTCCTCCAGGGCAGTCTACATGAGCAGGTCTACCTGCGCCGCTCCCAGGGCTTCTCCAGTACCTTTCCCCCTGGTACCAAGTGCCTCCTCGGGCGCCCCGTCTACGGCTTGCGCGAGGCACCCCGTGAGTGGTACGACACGCTGCATGCTACACTTG